GTGGACTCAATTTGCACTATTTCTAGCAGTCTGCAAAGGCCCATTGCTAGCCCTCTTCGGTAAATAAATGTTGCTATGAAAATCCTAGGAAAGGGTTGCTGTAAATCACAAGTGACTTGAAGACACATAACAACAACAAATGTGTGACAGAAGGCATTCCGATCTAGTGGGGTAAAACAAAAAACCTTCCTTCAAAAGTGTCATGGTTTAAAGTTCTTGCATTCGAAACAGGCAGCTTGGGAGAAGATTATTAAATATATTTGGGGGAAATAATACCTCTTCAGTCAATCAGAGTTTTACTTTAAATCAGTCCAAAAGATTAAGCATGGAGGGCCTTGGGTTATGGCTCGCTGGCTTGCTCTACTTCACATTCATATAAGCATGTCACCCTCGACACAAAGCCTGGTAAACAAATCCCTACTGATATCACAGCAGTTGTGCTCAAATCACTAACCAGCCACACACCACAGCACTCTACCAATTTCTCTTATCCTGAGTGAGTATGCAAAGAGCTCTTGTAACACATTTGACATGAACTGAAAGAAAGAAGTTGCATCTGAGGAAGTAGGCTCAAGTCTGAAAGGTCCCGCTAATGACTTCTATCTTTCAGTTTATCTCAAAGCTTCTACAAAGATCCCTTTGTATGCATCTGAAGAAGTAGGCTGAAGTTGACCAAAGCTTTTGCTACCAACGTCTCTCTCTTTGTTCATCTCAAAGGTGCTACAAGATGCCTTTCCATGAATCTGAGGAAGTAGGCTCAAGTCTACCAAAGCTCATACTACCAACTTCTTTCTTTCAGTTTATCTCAAAGCTTCTACAAGATCCCTTTGCATGAATCTGAGGAAATAGGCTCAAGTCTACCAAAGCTCATCCTACCAACTATTCTCCCAGTTGATTTCAAAGGTGTTACAAGAGCCCTTTATATGCATCTGAGGAAGTAGGCTCAAGTCTATGAAAGCCCACACTACCAGCTTCTCTTTCTTAGGGGGGGGTTGCAGACTGCCAGAAATAGTGCAAATTGAGTCCACTTTTAGGGTTAGGGAATTATGGGAACTGTATTTTATTGTGGCACCAGAGCTCTCTGACAGAGAAGGCTCAATGTCTCAGGAAAAAAAAACAATTCCCATGATTCCTTAGCACTAACCTTAACCCTAAAAGTGGACTCAATTTGCACTATTTTTGGCAGTCTGCAACCCCCCTTAGTTCATCTCAAAGGAAATACAAGAGTCCTTTTCATACATCTGAGCAAGCAGACTCAAGTCTACTAAAGCTCATACTACCAACCTCTCTCTCTCAGTCTTGTAAAGTTCATACTACTAGCTTCTCTCTCTCAGTTCACGTCAATGGTGCTACAACAGCCCTTTGCATCCATCTGATGAAGTAGGCTCAAGTCTACCAAAGCTCATACTACCACCTTCTCTCTCTCAGTTCTTCTCAAAGGTGCTCCAAGAGCCCTTTGCATGTATTTGCTTGTAGTCCATCTGGCATCATCCTGGCATCAGAGAGAGTGAAAGGCAGGCATAATTTTATCAGGCTTAGCCCAGACTAAGTAGAAGGCCTTGGAGGGAGAGAAGAACTGCTGGACTTGATCCCCTACCCCACCGCCATTCCCATCTCTTGGGTCATGTCTTTTTTAGATTGAAAGCCTCATGGCAGGGAACTAACTAACAATTTGTAAAGCTACTCTGAGAGCCTTTGTGGCTAAAGAGCGGGATATAAATACTCAAAATAAATAATAATAATTAATAAATCTGAGGAAGCAGGCTCAAGTCTAAAAAAGCCCATACTACCAACCTTTTTCTTTTAGTTCATCTCAAAGGTACAAGAGTTTTCTACATGCATCTGAGTAAGCAGGCTCAAGTCTACTGAAGCTCACATTACCAACTTCTTTTTTTTTCCAGTTTATCTGAAAGGTACTACAAGAGTTCTTTACATGCATCTAAGGAAATAGGCTCAAGCCCATACTACCAACATCTCTCTCAGTTCACTTCATAGGAGCTACAAGAGTCCTTAGCATATATCTGAAGAAGTTGCCTCAAGTCTACCAATGCTCCTGCTACCAACCTTTCTATCTCAGTGCATCTCAAAGGAACTACAAGATCCCTTTGCATGCATCTGAGTAAGAAGACTCAAGTCTATCAAAGCTCATATTACCAACTAATCTCTCTCTGTTCACCTCAAAGGAGCTACAAGAGTCCTA